TATATATATCGATATATTAATTTACATTATTAATAATATTAATGATAGTGGCTTGACAATAACGTTAACTATTTCGCAGTATTAACAAGTATTATGCGCTCAAATTCTCTAAAGTTAGTCTCTTATTATATTTTCTCTTTCTATGTATCAATCGATTTATATAGATAAATCTTCTGTCTTTTTTTCCCTCACAATATTTCAAATATATATCCTAAATAAAATTATATAAAAGCGCTACGAAAGTAATATTTTTCTCGAATCTGATTCAAGTGTCGATTCTTGGGAAAGGTGCGCATAGAAAGAGTACTCCAACACAGTTTATCCTGCTAAATGATTATCAATTCTATAAGTTTTGTATTGTTTACACATAAATTATAGACTATCTAAACGTTTCTTTTCTTCGATGTCCTGTGAAATTTTACAATAGAGTTACAAATAAAGATAAAGCCATACTTTACGTATAATCTGATTCAGTCTTTGCTAATGTTATATAATAACGTGCGAAAGAACTAACAGTTAGATTTTAACTATTTAAGAGGCTATATTTAAGAATTTTAATAAAAAGAAAAAAAATTGGAAGCGTTAAACTATTCAGCTAGCTTTACACAAGATATTGGTCTTCTTTAAGAAATCGTCAAATTATGATTATGATACATTTCTACATTATCACCAGCATCGAATCTAATCTTATTTATCATGATACTCCTGAGAAACTGTTAATCCATTGTCTTAATAAACTCGATCGCGGAGCAGAATTGCGTCCACCAATATTGTTCTTCGCCCTCTAATCGATTCCCGTAAAAACTGTCTACGTATTGAACAGTCGATAGTAACGACGGTGGATTAGTCTGAAATTAAGTATAAGTTAACAAAATCACTTTTTTGTATTAAAATTATCTTTTCTTTCCAATCGCGTACCTTGATTATGACATAGACCAGCACGGGAATAAGATCGTCGGCAGCAGGTATGCCTCTTTCCGACGCCATGGAAAGAAGATTCATGATGGTAGTCGCGCAACGAAATACACACTGCAACTTATCCCTAGGAGTCTTATACGCCGATATCACAGCCAATTCAGCCTGTGCCCATGGCCAGGGGCATTCGTAATGATAAACCTTTGGAATACGTAGGTCCTTATGATTTGGAGTTACGACCTTCGCCAACTTTTTAATGTGATCATGAAGAAGCTGGTCCCTATATACATCTCCATCTCCATTTGGATAGAGTGCATTGTGGTATACCCGTGCCATAACGGTTCTTTCCACTACGACTCTCGCCAAATCTAATTGGTTAGCGCTCGCCGCTGAAAGTAAGAAGCAAGTTAAAGTATTCCTTAGCTAAGATTAATTACGAAATAAATAATTATATTTATGTACATTGCCAGATCGGATCGTTATCCATTTCGGCGTGGACCTTTCCTAGGAAATTATCCACAAGATCCTGTTTCTCATCAGTCAACGTAAGCTTTTTAAACTCGTCACAAAAACGCAGGAGAAAAGTCTCCCTTTTTTCCAAAAATACCCTTACGCAAACAGATACGAGATGATTATTGATAGCATCTCGATCACACTTAACTCGTACGCATAATCTAAAAGATATTATAATAATTATTAAATAGTCGCATTTTATACATATATATATTATACACAAATATGATATTTATATATAGACAGTACCTATCTAAGTGAGCTAACGTCGACAGTAATCCTTGACGACATCTAATTAAATACGCGATATAAGGGGATCGCTTTTGATAGTCTTCTCGAAGAGATTTGAAGAGTTTCCTACATCCATCATCATTAAATAGACGCACACAACGTAAAGTTTCATGAAGGTGAGCTATTAATGCCCTATCCTGCAGGTTTATAGCTTCTGCCAATTGCAGTTGCAAAAACGCAACTAGTTCGTTTTCTTTCTGCGACCAACAATGTCTCTGTAACGAAATTTTATATTTGAACTAAGTAATTAAAAAAAAATACAAATTTTATTTTGTATATCGTGACAGCAGATTAATACAATAAATACCTCCGATGTATTCCATGGAATGTGTTGAAGGTCAGCAGTACTAAGTACCATGCGTAATTTTCTTTTAGCATCCGCGAAAGCATAAGATAGTTCTACGTTATTTGGATCGATTGAAAGTCTTTCATCTTCCACCTCTTTTGTACGAGATTGATTGCTTTCGATCGAAGCTGTATCGCTAGCTGCGCTTGGTTTTCTTCTATATTTTGCTAATATATCATCGGTAGTATCTGAAAAAAAGTAATGAGGAGATTTAATAAACTGCTGTCCAAAATAAGAAAACTTACAAGAAAACTTTTCATCGTATTTAACACTACTTTCCAATTTATCTTCAATTCAATTATATATACATGTAAAATTATTAAAACAGAATTTGTTTTGTTGTAACAATAATCATTAATATTAGTTAAACTTAATTAGTTAAATAAAGTTAAAACTTAATTTATTAATCTTACCGCCCGCGACATTACCAGATGACGTTACATCTTCCGACATAATCCTGCGTAATCTGTGCCTGCACATATCGACGCCGTCGCCACCAGCTTCTCGATCAAAACATCTATCGTCCGCCCCGCGAATTGCTTTACCTCTACGATTTCTCAATGTCATTTTTAATTTACCAAAGAAACCGCGTTTGTTCTTTTGATCATCATCCAACAATTCCTTATCACCACGTTCAGCAGTCATGTCAAAGCTTATACTCTTTGGAATAGCTCCCGTTGATGCATTTGGCTTGGAAAAATTGGGAATCGATCCATCTACTGCATCACAAGTGCCATTAACCGTTGGTGTTGGTAAATCCGATGCTGAAATGTTACTTTTCACACGAGGTTCCGATCCGGAACTACTGCTAGATGTTAAGCTAGCCGTACTTAATCGGCCTACAGTATCTCCGACTGATGTTATACAGTTATCCAATTCCTGATTTACAAAATTCACATTTATATTCCAAATATCTTCGAAAATAAGAAAGTAATAGATTGACAGAAAAAGATTAAGCGAAGCAATACAAACCTCTGTTTTCGAATCACCATTTTGGGACTTCTCTGGCAAAACAGGCGCAGAAATATGATTAGCTAATAGCAACGCTGGTGCGACTGCAGCCGCAGCGATGTGATTGTGCGCAGGTGCTTGACGTTCAACTTGCTTACCATTGTCAATTTGAAGTTTATCTATCAAGTGGACCAGCCTGTCGTCCCGTAACGGTTTAGAATAATCCATATTGCTTATATTGTTAGCGTTTTTGTCTACGTATTCCATTGTACTACGTCGGTAATCGTATTTGGTTCCACCACGACCTGTTACATTTGACGACGACGGTAATGGAGATGTTGTTGGAGATGGATGAACTATTGAAGTTGCTATGCCAGAATCCTCTCGAATCCCTGAAATTGTCGAAAAACTGATGCTTGAGCCATCCGGACCTGAAATTATTAATTATACATATTGTAATTAAAAATTATTTGATGATATTGCTAGTATTGCAATATATAATTGCACTATATTTACATGGGGTTGCAGATTGAAGCGTTTCTTCATTCCCTTCGGAATCAGCACGGCTTTCTATTTCGATTTCGGATCTGGCTGTATCATCAGATCTGTGCGAATGTTGCAAATTAGAAAGATATCTTATTTCAAATAGAATAATACTTTATAAACATAATATGTAATATATAATAATGTATACCTAGCAACGCTAGCAGTGTCATCAGTATCTACTTCAGTTAATCTTTCTGAATCACTAGCTAATACGTCTGTGCTCCAGGCTTCAGAGGCGGTTTCACTGATGTCTAACATAGTTGGTGTAGGTTCAGCAGGCAGAACAGGTGCAACCTGTTCAGGCGGAACAGCAAGCAGTATTCGATCCTGTTGTTCAACTATTTCGCTATCTGAGGCCAACACATCTGTAGACCAAGTATCGGATACCATAGAAACAGTTTCATATTCTAAAAAGTATAATATAGATATAAATAATTATATATAAATAAATTAATAATCAAAAAATAAGTCAAAATAATAAAATGTGAAAATACAGGCTAATGAGAGTGAAGCGCTGTAACTTTCATTAGCCTGTATTTTAATATTTTATTATCATATTTAACACACACACAATTGCGAGAGTGTGTACATTTTAAAATTTTTATTTAAACTTGTAATTTTAAATTATTTCAAAAAATAAATATTATCAATTGTGATGCTAAATATTGTTCGTTTTAAATGTGTATGTCATTGTTAATTTATATTTACCTTCAATAAGCTTTTTAATCTCAAATTTACAAAATTTGTCATCAATTTCGGATCGACTTTGTTTAGTTGGGATATTAGGCGGTGGCAAATCCAACTGCCTTACTTCACCTGCAGCGCGTCCATCATCTCCTTCAGTAATCTGGGACGATGGTGTATCTCGACCTAGTGATTATAAACAATTAGATTAAATAATTTATAATTGCAATTGGTATTAAATGTTAAAAAAAGGAACAGTTTAATAGAATTAATATACCTGATATATTAGGAGTTCCTCTCCCCGATACATTAGCAGACACCATGTCTGAGAGATTATCGTTTTGATCTTCTGTTTCTAATTCTAAAGAAGAAGCGACACTGTGATTGGAAGCAGCTTCTGATACAGCTTCCAAGTTATCGGACGTATTGCCAATTGATCCTTCGAACAAAACTAATTATTTTTAATGTAGATGTGTTATAAAAGCCAAATAATGAATTCTTTAATGTTTATATTTGTAATATTAATTTTTAATGACATGAAAAAGATTAACAAAAAATAAAATCAAAGAAAGTTATATAAATAAACAAAATTAATGGAATACATGTAAATATAAATTTTAGCTGTTCCAAAAAACATGAACACTATTAAAGCAATCGGTATCATATTAAATATCGGTAATTGATATACCTTCGTCATGTGAGAGTGAGAATCGAGTTCTCTTCTCTTGCGTTTCGATACGTTCGACATTGCTATTTTCTTGTCTAGGATGTTCATTAGAGGCGTCATCAGGGAGATTTAAAGTAACAGGTCCATTCTCCATACCACTTTGGAGTTCCATGCATAGAACCTATAAATAATGAAATAAAATATTTCATTTGATAACTTTAATCATTAATTCTAAATTTATTACTTCCTTAAACTTTTATTAAATAGACATTAAAAAACTGATTATTTATATTATTATTTATTACGCTATAATTTTATAAATTTATAAAATAAATTACAAATTCATAAAATTATATAAATTTATAAACATATTTTTTGAAAATTAAGTAGCATATAATTTTGTATAAGCTACATACATACAAGATGTAACTTCTTATTAAATACATAAAGAATAACAAGCAATAAAATATGTG